GGGCAAATGATATCACAAAATTAAGTGCACACAATTTTAGAAACCACTTTGATAGGTTTCAGTCTCGTTCTTTTTAAAAAAAACATTTAGGCTTGAGTGTTTGGTCAAACAAGCTTGTCTTGACATCTCATGTAAATCACCCGCCATTCTTTTTTATTCTTTGTTAATTTTGCATTCATCATAAAAAGAGACACGGCCTGTTCTTACGGACCTGTTCTTTCGGAAAATAAAAGCTTTTCCACAGCTTTTCCACAGCTTTAACTTAACCATTAAGGTGGCAGCATCAGTTCTTTTTTGTATCTTATCAACAACGTGAAAATATCTAGCTCGAAATTGGCATGTCCCTCTACCGTCACGTATTTCACTGGAGGGTTTTCAACCTTCAACCTCTGCATAAATCGAGCCTAGAAGTAGATTCCAGTTTATGAATTTGGATGAAAATGATTCGACAGTTGGCGGAATAACGCCAAAATGTACACAGTAAAAGTTAATTTGATTCAGTTGTCAATAAAAATCGTTTTATTTCACACCTTTTTAACTTGTTCGTTTTCAAGGACAGCTGTTTTTAGCCCCATATCTTAGCGTTTACACATTTTCTTCATGAAATTAAACCTAGAAAAAACATTACTAAAACAATAATAGTATTACCGTTCACGGGGAGCGTCATACCCGTCTTCAAATGTCTAAAATTATCCATTAAAAAATGCCCTTCAAACACGTTGAAAACGAATGTTAAAGAGCGTTGAAGCTCGACGCATCTATCAGCGAAATCTTCTCTATTTTAAATGTTTGAGTACGTTTAGATATTTAGCTTTTAAAAGGAATCAGTCTTTCCCACTGTTTTGTCAGCAGGATGCTGCAGGTCGTCGCCAAAACCTCGCGTGAATTTCGCTCTTGAAGTTGTCTGGAGTTCCCTTCGTCTTATTCTTGTCTGTCAGTGTTGGTTGGGTATAAATTTGTAGGACTTAGGTTTAAAGGACTGTGAAGTGGACTTCGAACAGTTCTGTCTGTTGTACTACGAGAAGTAGAGTTAGAATTACGACAAATGAGGCGCTTAAAACTTTGGCGAAACTCGTCGCTCACAAGGGAGTAAATGAAAAAATTTGCCGACGAGTTTGCAATGACGAAGATCACGCAAACATTGTAAAAAACCCACAAGTATTTGTGCTCAGAAATTCCTTCCCAATACATAAATGAGAGGCGGAAAACATTAACGGGAAGCATAGTGACAGCAAAAACTATTACAACAGGTGTTAAAAGCTTCTTAGCTCTACTGTTTTGTCGCTCACGAAGTCTTTTGCGAGCGTTGCGGGATTCGGATTCGTTACACTCTTCTTGTATGGATCTGTTAAAGTTAGTGCTGACTCGGAGCTTTACTGAAATGCTGTGGAATGTTCCAACGATAATGGTGAGTGGCAGAACATACCAGAATACAATGATCGCGATACTGTAGATTTGTTGCATCTCTCCCAGATTTCCTCGCTCGGCGCTCGGCCAGATTGGAGTACAATCGATGTACGAGTTCTGGTCAATGAACGTCATCACGAAATACAAAGGCAGGGAGATGACCAAGAAGGACATTATCCACACGCCAAGAATCATCCATCTTGCTGATCTGAAATTGAGGGAATTTCGCTTAGGAATACGGCCTCCAACTATTGCTCTGTAGCGATCTATGGCAATCAAGGTTATGGACCACACTGAAACACCGTAAAATATATCATTGACAGGATACAGAAACCGACAGAAGTATTCACCCAGGGGCCAGTGATATGGATCTTGTTCCTTAATTACCGTTAGCGGGAAGGAGAAGAGAAGTATTCCTAGATCTGCAATGGCGAGGTTTCTAATGTAGAAGTTGATAACGGTCTGCATCTGGGGTTGGAAAGTTATGACTAAGCATACCACGGCATTTCCTACTATGCCGAGAGTTGCGATGAAGAACTCGAGTGTCAAGCGAACGATCTCTAACCAGTGAGGCTCTTTGAAGTACGGCAGCTCAAACTCGACAGTCTCGTTCGCGACAGAATTCATTCTCTTTTGCTATGAATCCAGCCGCGTGGTTAGTTATGGATGAACTCTGTTTGCAGTTAAGTTAGCTCACGTGCGCGCAAGGCCAGGGGGCTAAGAATTTAACCCAAAGATTTCCGCTATATCGTCTGTTTTCACTTTCCGCCTTTTAACCGTGGCTATGGCCAGACGTGGATATGAAAACTTCAGGGCTTGGCCAAAGCAGGCGAACTTTCTATCACGGACCAATCTTAACAACTATCTCCCTTTAGTGAAAATGAAGCACAAATCTGCGAGCGAGCTTATTTACCCATTCACTTAGTTCAGGTACCTGTTAAATCGCTCCAGTAATTAACACGTACCATGCTGATAAAGGAAACTTCACGAAATTTCATACTGCTTTTGACTTTAATTCATGAATACGCGCTGTTAGGATGTCATTCACTGAGTAAGAGATACTTTATGACGTTTTTTTTCTGGAACATTTCCATAATCTTGTCATATTCCTCAGGCAGCAGTGAATTTATAGAACACGAAACGGGTCATAGTTTGCTTTGTTCACTCAAGCAAGACTGTCCTTTCGACAGAGATGTGATATTTATTATCCCCATAAGAAAAAAACATCCAATACCATAATGGCATCCACATGTGGAAACAATTGCTGTTGATCGTTCCAGAAGCTGTATTTCGTTGTAATTTCATACACAAGATAATGGTAAAACGTCGAAAGTTCTTACTGCGCTGAAATCAAACGAGCAAGGAGATCTACAAAACTGGCGTTTATTTTTTTCCTTGCGTGTTGTTAATGAATACTCTCTTCTTTAGTTTAAACGTAAATGAAAAAATTAACTACCGGTGGTGCATTTCGAGTATCCTATTAAGGGAACCAGCAAAGACAAAAGCGAATAAGATACTAGACACAATAAATTAAAAAAAGTCCGTTAAGTTGTTTTGCAAGTTTTGTCTTCTTTTCCCGCAGGCATGACGCAAACGGGAAAAGATTTAACCGCATAAAACAATGTGTTAATGGTAACTCAGTTTCCATCAACATGACTCAATTTCCCACATGCATGGCAACACAAATGGGTACAGTTATAGCTGGGGACTTGTTTTTGAAACCGTAACTATTTTCATGAAAATATCGTCACCGTCTCACGTGGGTGTCACAGCATAACGTCCACGTCTTTTTAGGAACCTGCCTTTTTTTAACTTTTCATTTCTGAATTTAGCTTAAAATATTTTTTATTTTGAGTGGGTGCCAATTTGTGTAAAAGGGACTGGATTGAATAGTCATGTGCAAATCCTCCAATCCACATCATTATCAACTCAATTGGTCGATCCAAATTTATTTCGTTCAAATCTGCATTGTCATTTTATTTAAATTTTCTGTTGTATAAAACAACTGTATGTGAGTGTATAAACATATGTTTTGCTATTCCCCTCCCATATTAAGAAGTCGTAGAAAATTTTTCAACCAGCCACATGGGTTTGTAATTCGGATAAGGTTTCTTAACATTTGTTCCAGGATCTCTCGTTCAGGGGACAGGACAAATGCTATCAAAGAAGTTTAGGTTTTTTTACCTATCTTTACAGAAACATCAAGTCAACAAAACGCCAATACAACCAATCTCAAAGCCGACTTTAGGATGTCTATATGTGGCTCTAACTTCCAAACAGAATGGATTCAGTATCTGAGCTATGGAAAAAAAATTATTCCTCGAATTGCTACTGCTTTCTCCAGTACGTACCCACCGATATCGAAGCTCCGTTTTCTGCTATATAAAATAAATGCAACCAACAATTTCTGCGTTCGCCCTTAGGAAGGGCTGATGCTCGAAACGTCAACTAAAGAAACTCTTTACGGTGGCCAGTTTACATTATCAACTCATTTCAAAAGACGAAATTATCTAAGATTTTCACCAGCTGCTCCTTGCGTCACAGGCCAGCGAATTTAAATATTTTTTCGAATCTGCACGGCGTCCGATATCTGTTTTCCCTTTTAAGGCCAATTCCGCCGATCTCAAAAGCTTTTCGTCCTCCTCATTTGGTTCAAAAGCGCTAATCATGACTTTTATGAGATTTCGATGCACGTCAGCTTTATACATAGCAACTTGTAAGAATTGAACTTAAAAAGAAAGTGTTCGCCTAAATGCTTCTAAAATTAACGACTTTAACAATCAATTAAGGCATGGCCCGCAAAAAAAATCAATTAAACCATCACTGATTTTAATTGAAGTGCCCACAGGCTACTCTTTTGGTTAATTTAAAACTCAGTTGATAAAACCAAAATTATCTTTAAAATGTTTATCATTTGTCTCTGAACTCCGTATATCATATAACTTTACAGGAAGAGGAATCAATATCGATCGATCGAACGATCTAGAAATATATTTTTATTTCTTGGTATAAACATCTATTAACGTTAAGGCCAGGCTCAACGCACGCAACATTTCATTGAAACATCTTGCAACGTTGTACAACGCGCACCCTATTACACGCGTGTATGAACACTGTAGCAACGTGCTGCAAGATGTTGGATGGCACCAGTGGAATCAAGCTTGAAATTGGTCAAATTTTGTTCTGATGACGTAAGTTATTTCTTATTCTTTGAGAGGAGCAAGATTGGGGACGTCTGACAGCTTGTCCTTATTCAAAGGGCCAACTTTCAGCTGATTCATTGGCTTAAACAATTTCCTGAATTCGATGCTGAGTCTTCCATCACCAGTCAGATTTGGCTGGAAATTAAAGAAAGACCATCCATTAACCGTGCTGATGATAAAACGTTCAGGTCCAGATGGAATAACAGAGGTAACTACCTGTGGATCCGGCAGCAAATTACAACGTCTATGAAATTGTTCGCATAGGATAAGCTTTCTTTAGCATGTGGTTGCATGGCCAGGAAGATCCGCGAATTTCATTGAGAGAAAACGTTTGATGGACAGCTCAGACTCCTCCAGTGACTCAGAAAGTACTGACTTTATTGATATTTGAGCATTCCCTTGCTGGAAAAACTAAGTACATTATCCAAGCAATAGACCGTAATTTCTACCGTTTTACCGACATAACCAGGCGTGACGTTAGTAGAACATGAACAACAGAACATTCGGTTCGTGATTTACAAATTTTTCTCGTGTTCTCTCAACATCCCAAGTGGTTTGTTACAACAGTTAAACGAGGCAATGGTAAGGCATTGCTTCAAGACTTGTTCCATCTCCGACAGAACGGAAGACGACGCCATCTACTGGGATGACATTGGGAAATCCTTATTTTAGACTGTTTTGTGACTACTTTATTGAGATTTGGTTGAGGAGGTTGGTGCCGTTTATGAACAGAGACTCACTGTAATGTCAAGCGTTAGGTTGACGGAGTTGATTCCCTATATCTCCTTCTCTATCCCACTCATCAATCGTACAAAGTACTTTATTTCTAAGAGTGGATCTAGACATTGTTCTTAAAAGACAAGCTGTGCATTCATGAAAATATGAAACACATGCATGAGAAGTTTTGAGAGGAGAAGGAGGATAACTATGAGGAGAAGAATTGCGAGGCGGAGAATTATGAGGAAGAGGATTGTGAGAAGGTGAGTCACAGGGCCCATATAACTTCCAACCGGGCCAATGAAATTCAATCCCCGTTTCACTTAGAGAATTTTGAAGGAGGAGGCGGAGAACTTATTTCTTGAGTAATTCACCCGTGATTAACATCAAAGTTGATCAAAGGAAAATCAAGACAAATTAAAAGGAGACGGATTAAGAGACAGAGTGGTGGTCTGGTTACGCTTGTGGCCGTTATTCCTATTCCAGCCTTGATAACAACCGGTAGTAGGGCAATAGCAGCCGGAGTGTTGACGGGGGTGGCAGGGTACAGCGCCAAAAAAGCATTAGAAGCTGCTACCCGAAAAAGGAGAAGGCGATAATTGTAATAAAAAAGACAGGAAGCCATCTTGTTTGTAAATCATATATTAAAAAATCTGCCAATAAATGGTGTTTAAATCAGAAAATCTATAGGGAACTGACACGTGACAACCTAACAGAGAGTGTTACGCGTTCCTAGATCAGCGGTAAAGATCATTTGGTTTTGTTTTGAGATTAACGTTATGGTTCCCAAGACGTGGTATGTTGCTATTTGTTCGTGATGGTCAAATATTTATTGTGTGATCAAAAGTATCAATCAAATGTGATTAAAATGTAACTTCTCCCCATGATATTCATACATTATCCAGCAAACAGGTCATAGGAATACTCAACCTTATCAAGAAGCAATTTTTTTCTTAATCTATCACCAAATTCTCGCAATTTGTTTGCAAGAAAATATGTGGCAGCTGGAGGGAAAATAAGCAATCACATCCTTGGAGTTTAAAGGCCCATTTTCACCCCTGATGCAACGCACGCCGCGACCCAATCTCCTTTAACACCGAAATTCCCAGATTACTGAAAACCTTCTAAAATCGTCTTTCTTGGGAGCCATCCTGGACATATAGTCGTCTGTTTTACGGTAAATACATTCGCCATTCGTCATTTTACAGTTTCCTTAGAGTATTTAAAATTTTGT